TCTCATGTAGTGAATGTTGTATTTGCATGTTGGTGTAATGCGCTGCCACTACATAGTACATTTTATATGTCAGATAGTATGTTTGCATAATACACTTCACGTGTTGAACAGTGTGCTTGCACAATGCATTTTGCATATTGAGTTGTGTATATGCATGGTACGATTGCATTTTAATGTAACGCGTCGTCACAACATGACGTATTTTGCCTTTTGAATGATGCATTTGCATAGTGTGTTTCGCAGCAATATATATGCACTTGGTGCATTTATATGTTAGGTGAGAATGCCCGCAACATGTCCACTCATTCCTAACTACATGTAGTCTTGATGCTTGCATTGTACACTTGCATGCTTTAGAAAGTATTTGCTAATTACATATACATACTTTGAACATGTTAGTGTGCATTTACATGTATGAGGAAGTGTTATTGAAATGTTCAAATGTGATCTATTGTGTAGGTGATGATTAGAAAATGCGCGAGTTTCCATTTAGGGGGTCTATAAATGCCTTATGTTTGTTTGTATGAATGTTGCAGATCCTATGACGTATTATCATTTTCTCTAAATTCAGCTCGTAGGAGTATTCAAATATGAACACACATATACTTGGTTCGGCTCGATTCGTTTGCAGCCCTAACTATAACCTTGTTGGGTATAATGTACACTTGATTTTTGTGCTTTGAATAAGGACACCTAAACATCACATCTAATAAAAATGAAGGTAGTTAATATGCCACATGAATGAAATATTCAACTACTTAAATGAATTCATATGTTGGTGACTTCCGTCAAGGTAATAATCTATTGTATATTCATGATCTTTGGCTTCAGATATCCATGTGTAATTTGATGTAATAATGTTGACCTCTACTCAAGAAGCCAAACCAGAACAAACAAAAGAAATAAAAAAATACTCAAAATCATTACTTGCCAATACCTTGCCCATATCCCGCAGAAATCCTGCTCAGATCTCTACAAAACTGCGCTGAAGCGTTGCTTCTCCTATCATTTCTGCTTAAATCCTGCCTCAAAACATGCCAATTTGCATCGTTAAAATGAGATTGGGGCGAAGTCTTCAACTTCTTCTTCTTCCACGCATTCTAAGTCCCGCAAACCTCCTCCAAGCCCTTCCGAACTCCCTCCGCTCTATCTCCCATCCAACCGAAGCCGAAACCTCCCACTACTTCTTTGCTTTCTCACTCAACCCACTACAGCCGACGCCTCCCCCCTCAGTTCCTTGACCTTCAATACCGACTCCACCTCTTCCCTTGCCGTAAGATCAATAACTGACGATGCCTCTCATACCTGAAGCTAACTGAAGACCCCATCTCTCTGTTGAAACTCGCAAGCCTTAAGACCTGAGCTCACAGGACCCTGTTCAATACGACGCCAAAACCCTCACTGTCTTCACTATCGTTATCTTTCAATTTAATAAGGAATAATAAAAATTAGAGTATAATCATATACGTTATGTTGAAGCTAGACCCTAACATAGAAAAAAAGAATAATAAATGAGCTTAATCTTATCTATCTTAAAAAAAAAGAATAATTAAATCATAAAGTATGCATAATATTTAATAGATCTAAGAATCGCTCCCTCATAAATTATAAATCAATAAAAAATAATTGAAAAAATAGTCATATAAATTTATTTAGATAGAAATTATATACTTAAGAGTTAAATGAATTTCAATACAATACAAAAAATAATAATTTCAATGCAAATTTATCCTCCATACAATTTGTTTTTTCCGCCCATGGTCTTTGTGTATAAAAAACTTTAAAGGTAGATAAAACTTCTAATAAGAAATTTGAAATTATTCTTGAGGTAGCTTATTCTTGAAGATGTGGAGTTATCTTGATATTGTTTCTCCTTAAGGTGTAGAGTGGGCAAGAAATAACTTTTCCATAAAGATTTTTATTAAGGAGTTATCGCAATGTCTTCAAGATCGAAAGCATCATCACCGAAATACTACTTCTAGCCGAGCTCCGTCTCGAGCGTCTTAAAGATCCAGATCAACTCCTTATTCACCTCCTCTAACGCCTTGCCTTTTAACGTCAACAGCTTAGATCTGCAGTCATTGACCTGCCCAGCTATGGATTTAATTTGTATGAAAGAGTGTAAGCACAAGGAGGATTAGAAGAATTCGGCCAATGTGCGGATTTTACCTTCTTGCTGACAAAATCGGCCCAGAATCGGGCGTAGGGATCTGAAGGGAGGTCTTGCCAGGAAAGATGATGAGGGGCTTGTAAATGGATTTCCCGACGTGGATAAGGGCAGGGATCTTCTTGTGCACTGGGTTTGATTTCAGCAATAGAAACCTGTGAAACCTTCTCCGGAAAGGGAAACATCAAAGGCTGTGCGCGGCTCGGAGCTTCGGATGGATGGGCAGCAAGCCACGAGATTGGTAATATTTGGGAAAAAAATTATTTTTGAGAGGGGGGGGGGGGGGCAGGATTCTAAATTGCCTCGCTGATCCATTAAATGTTTTTTTGAGGGTGGGCAAGAAATGAATGGGGATTTTCCCTTGTGGCCAAACCCCTCTAACCGACTCCCTCTTTGTAAGCCGCATTCCCACATCAAACGGAGGCCTCATCCCTACTTAAACAACCCCTAAACCCATTTCCACTTGTTTCCAACCCAAACAAAAGCCCATTCCACTCAAATCAAACCCAAACCTCATTCATTCAAGTTAAACCCAAAACAGTAAGTTTATGTTTAAATCTTATGGTTCCCTTTCATTATTATTGATATTAATTGCTATTGCTAATTAATTTGGCTCTAATTGTGTGTTTTTGCTAGAAAATATGTTTATTCATAAAAATGTGTGTGTTTGTATGTGAGAGGAGAAGCAAAAAAAAAAGGAAAAAAAAGAAAAGAAAATATAAAAAAAAGGATAGAAGAGAAAAATCCATAAAAAAAAGATTCTATGTATTTTATTTTTCATCATTGCCTCCACAACTTCGTTATGCAGGTATAATCCCCTCAACTCATAATCTCATTTTTGGCGTTCGTTTCAAGCCGAAAAATATCCCATACATGCTTTTCTCTAGCGTGGTGGGAAGGGAATCTGGTGCGACACCTATGGAGAGGCAGGTAAGTCTTATACATGCTCTTGTAGCATGGTGGGGACAATCTTAAGTATCTGTAAGTGACTCTGTGCCTGCGGGGAAAGCAAACTGTGCTCTTTTAAAACAATACCAAAGACCCATACAAGCCTTTCTCTGGCGTGGTGGAATTGAAGATTTACAGCCGCAGTGTCCGTGGACACCTAGCGTTCACTTTTCTCTTGCGTGGCGGGAGTCCCAGTTTCCCTTAAATGAGGAAAATGCCGAGAGGCTGCCGAAATCTTCTGTGAATCAAAGAAAAGAACTTGAACAAATTTTTTACAGCAGAGGACTTTGTTTTAATTATTTATTTGAACATCAAAAGGACTAAATTCAAACTTGAATAAATGAACAAAAAATTTAAAATTACATTTGAACCTAACTAAACAACTGCATAAAGGATTTGAATCAATCTTGGACAACAGGGAACACAAGCATGAACTGGATTTGACAAGAACCTGAATTTGAATTAATTACAAGGGACTTGGACTTAAGTGAATGCAAAGAACTCGAAGAAGACTAGAACAAAGAACATTTAGGACCTAAATAAGCAACAACGAACTTGAGTCAAGATTACAACAAATCAAAATTGCACTTAAAATGAAATGATGATTTGTAAAATAACAAGGTCCAAAGTTAAATGCAAAAGAATAGAAATGGAAATTGTGGCGAATCAAGAACTTACAAGTGCCACTTACTCACAAATGATGATGAAATTCTATACAATTGGGTTACTTGAAGTAATTGCAATGACTATAAGGGGGTGTAGTGGACATAACAACCCAACAATAACTACATATGTGAAGAATGAGACATATCCATAATCAAAGGAGGGTTTATCATGTAAATAACCTACCATCATACATAAGGAAATAACTTCTAGTGAGCATGATTGATCTTCTACCAGCATAAATCAATGGATTTGTAATGGGTGGCTTATTCATGATTCTATGGAATATGAATACGACTAGTCGCATGCAAGTAATCACAGAAATACATAAGGGATCAATTCACTGAAAAATTCCTAGTGAATGCTTTCACTCCTTAAATAGAGTGAGTAAAGAACTTGCATGGTGACCACCTCCTCAAAAACGACGTCAAATGGCTTGCAAATATCCACAATAGAGACTTGTGGGTGTTTGTGAACAACAACGAAGTATATGAAAACAAATGCACTATACTTGCCAAACTACAAAGAACTTGTAATGAGCAGGTCTTCAAACATGAGTTTGTAGGTCAACATGCTTGTTACATATTTTTTTTGGGTATTACGTCATTAAGAAGAGTACACGTTTTAGATATATTGGATTTATTTTTCAGAGTGACAGTAAAATAGATGAGGATATTATTAGTAGAATTCAAGTTGGATGGTTGAAGTGGAGGAATGCATTAGGCTTGTTGTGTGATAGAAAAGTCCGATGAGACTTGCAATGCTTTATGACGTAGAATGTTGGTGATTAAAAGGAAAACATAGTATTAAGTTGTGTTGCAGAGATGGCGATGCTTAGGTGGATGAGTGGCTTTACTCTCAGAGGCAGGATACGAAATGTGCATATACTTGAAAAATGTTGGAGTAGGTCGAGTGGCAGATAAGATTAGAGAGAGTCGCCTTAGATGGTTTGGTCACATAAAATGACGGCCTTCGCATGACTCGGTTAGGAGAGTAGATGTATTATATTTAGCTTATTTTAAGAAAGGTAGAGATATACCTAAAAAGGCTAAGTTAGAAAATATTATAAATGACTTATTTATTAAATTTAAATGAGAATATGACTCTTAAAAGATATAATGGAGAAAAATGATTCATGTTGTGGGCCCCATGTAGTGAGATAATGGCTTGTTTTTTTTGGGTCTTATAGATGTCTTTTTTTTTTTCACAATGTTCAAACCAGGTACAAAAAGCCACTTCAGTCATCTGTTCGTGCTGTGACTGCTGGAACCCTTTGGGCATTAAAGAGGGAAGATTTTCGAGAAATTCTTACTTCTGAATTTTCCAACATAGCATCCTTGAAGTTGCTCAGATCTATAGAGCCTTTTTCAAGGCTGACAATATTGCAGCTAAGTCGTATTGCTGAATCTCTCGTGGAAGTCTGTTTCTCTGATGGGCAAAAAATAATTGATAAGGTGCTGTTGATTCTAGTCTTTTGACTCATTAATCTCTGTAAAAAGAGAAAATAAATCCTTTATAATTTGAATTTTCTTATACTTTTAAGCTTCAAATTGCCCAGTTGAAGTGAATTTTTGGTTAATCGAAGTGCCAAGTTCTAAAAAATCTCCAATCCTCAACATTACATTATTTTTATTGAGTTTAGAATAGCACTTGTCTTTTGCATGAAAGAATGTTGGTGTAGTTATGGTTTGAAATTACGGTTGGTCCCTAGGTGCATTCTAAAGATTGATTGTACCATCCTGTTTTCTTTTTAGGATGTGTCCCTCTCTGGCCTGTATATCATTAAGAAAGGTCTTGTGAGACTATCATACATTGCAGACACTTCGAATCCTGTTGTTTCCCATCTCTTGTCTGCTGATTCCGACCAGAGAACTGAGATTCAAGACAATAATGTACATGTAGTGGAGTTAACAGAGGGAAGTCACTTTGGAGAATGGACACTTTTTGGGGAATCTGTATGTCCTTTGTCAGCGAGTTCTGTTGGTGAGTTAGTATGCTTGGTTATTACAAAGGAGAAATTTGATTCAGCTGTTGGTTCAGTTCCAAAACTTCCTCAGGAAGATCGGAAGTATGGTGATTACTCTAACAAACATGTTCTGAAATAGTTCTTGCTCATTTCTCTTAGTAGGCTGAGCTGATTTATAATATATTGTACAGGACAAAATATTCTTTGTGTTCTTCAGAGGAAACCATCTTAAATAATGATGCTTCAACATGCAAGAGAATTAATGCCTCTGATCTGGTATGGGGTTTGCAGCTCAAGTTCTTTCTTTAAATTAGACCCAATATATGCAAAAATCTGTTATCCAAAGAGGAGTCTGAATCTGTTGAGTTTCAATCCTATTTAGGAGTGGAAAAGAAGCATTTACGCAGCTGATTGCTGTGAGATAGGACTTGTCCTTTTGAAAGGCACTGGTAAGTCATTTGGAGTGCCTGGTTATGAGCATTTTCACAATAATATGTGCCTCATTTTGTATTTGACTGAAACTCAGATACTGTTCGTACCCTGAAGAGGTTTTCTAAAAAGAAAATTAAAGAGCTTGGAAAGGAAGAACAGGTGATGAAGGAGAAGAGAATATTAATTAGTTTAAACACCTCAGCTTCTGTGCCACCTGTACTATGTACCTGTGCTGACCACTTACATGTTGGGATTCTGCTCGATTGTTGCCTTGCTTGTACTTTGTCTTCTGTTCTCACTACACCATTGGATGAAAATTCAGCACGATTTTGTGCTGCTTCTCTTGTTGTTTCTTTGGAGGAGCTACATAAGGTTAGTTGTCTTTTCTTTTTGAGGAAATCAAATTCACATACCCCACCCCATTTATTAAACAAGATGCAAAAGCAAAGTAACTACCCTCTCGGACTGTAGCCCCTTAAAATAGGGCAATCTTGCAACAACAGTTGTTGTCATATTTACCTAGAAGGTCACATGTTAAAAATCTTAAATAGCCCTAATGCAATGCATATTTAAAGCAATATAATGCAAATATATATATATATATATATATATATATATATAATGCATTCTCTCCATATCATAAATGTTGTAAAACTGTTACGGATCTCAAGCAATATATGACTGTCCAATGCCCAATATTCTAGATCTGACTCATGATAATACATGAGCGAAGTGGGGCTCTTAAAAGAAGATAACTATATCACATAAACTAATTTTCAGTATGAAAAATATTTTGTAGGAGGGTGGAATGATAATCGTTGCATTAAAAGGAGCAAGGGACACTATGAATAGATTATGTTTTACTTGTATAATAAACTACTTAAATTTATAGCACGCATAATCTTGAAATAATCTATCATCTCTACTATCTATTTCATCATTGCCACCAATCATACATTCTTTTATATTAATAAATTTCTTTCCCTCCTTCCATGTTTGGCACCAATTATACTTCCATATTCCTTTTTTACAATGACAGTAATTGATTTTTTATCTGTGAACGCAGAATTCAGTGCTTCACAGAGGAATTTCACCAGATGTTGTAATGCTCGACCAAACTGGACATTTGCAGGTTATTACCACAAATCTAATTTCACACCATCAGGGTGACACCTAAAAATTATGAATTGGTTTTTCTTACTTTGTTTATTGCTTGTGTTGTAGTTGGTAGACTTTAGATTTGCAGAGAATTTAGGAGGAGAAAGAACCTTCACTATATGTGGAATTGCAGATTCTTTAGCCCCAGAAATAGTCCTAGGGAAAGGACATGGATTTGGTGCTGACTGGTCAGTATTCAACAACTTAAAATTTTGTTGTCTAATTATATCTATTAGCCATTATGAAAATATTAATTAGCCAAGCTTTTAGACAGAGGGATGAAAATATTGCCTGTAAATATTAAACATTCTAAAATTTCTCTATGAGATGCAAGCTCTTAATTGATTCATGAAATTTAGATATAAAAATATGAATGCCAGAATTAATTGAGTTAATCAATGTTTTGACGAAGGCACTGAACACAGGTTCATACTGCACTGCCACTTGGTAACATACTTAATTTTTTACTATATTTTGCCCTTAATTTAATTTTGCTTGTGTATTTTCTAAGTGAGGGAACCTTGTGGAAAGTGTTATGACACACCTAGAAGACGACAAGCTTGAAATAAAAACTGTAATAAATTAAATGTAGAAAATAAAAAGAGTACATAAATCATTTATAGTGCTTTGGTCAAATAAACTTAACATCTATTTCTTGAGTCCTTTCATCGAGAATTTCATTAACTTAATTATTTTTCTCCCAACAAGACGAAGAAGCCTCTCTTCTTTACAAGGTGTCGCTTTCCTCCTCGAACTTCTTCCTAACCTCCTGCTAACTCCACAAAGTCCTTCTAGCCTCTCACAAGGCCTTTTGAGATCTTACACGCAATTTTTTCACCGAGTTCTTCTTCTACGAACTTGAATAACACCTAGAGGAAAAAAGATAAAGATTTAGTTAGAACAACTGTGGTGAACCTTACACACAATTCTCTTAGACTTATCTAAAAGATTTCTATCAATTTCTCCAATCTCTTCTTTCCAACATCTCTTGAAAAACTTTTTCTATTTTCTCTAAAGCTCTATTCTTTTCTTCTTGAAAAATAGGGTTTTATATAATAGTAGTATTTATAAACAAGATATAAAAGAATTCATAATCAGACTATTTAAGAAATTTGATGTTCTAATTGTACAACATGATATAAAAATCATACAATACAATTAGTTCAATTAGCATGAGCCCTAAAAACTGAATTTTATTTGATTGAACTGTATGGTACATATCATATAATATGATTAGTTTAATTTGTTAACTCAAAACATTGGTTTGACCTATCTGATCTTATGTTCGTACAAACACTCTCTCTATTTGTTTGGCCTTTAAGATTTATATCGTATAGTAAAAAAATTTGTTTTGACTCGACTCCTCAATTTTCAGTTCTAAAATAGGTAAATATCTAAAAGTGTTGTATGGTATGAACATGATTGTACAATATTGTTTCAATTTTGAATTTGCCTATTTTTGATAAAAAAAAACCACATAACGACTCGATTTGAATCTAAAATAGCTAATCGTACATGATGATATATATCATACAATATGATTAATTACATAAACATTTTATTTTAAATTTTTTTAATTAATATCACTCAATTATCTTAATTTTTTTAAAAAAATTCACTATTATTGTATAGTACAATTCAAATCATTTAATACAATTAGTCAAAGATCCAAACATTTTAATTCTATTCTAAATTTCTTATTTTATTTTGTTTTACACATGTATGTGTGCTTGATTGTTTAGCCTACTATATACATGTACATATATAAGAATATACCTAAACCCTAAAATAGCAAATTGACACAACACTTTTCATTTTTAAGGTCTTATTGTTTTTTACAGCTTCACATCTTCAAATTGAGCTTAATTCGTCATCTTTCTTATTATTCTCCCTTATGTATTAGATATAACTTTGTCCTTTGTCTTTTATTTAACCTAGAATATTAGGTTAAAAGTGATGACTTGCACACAAATATATAATCTTGATCAGTATAATTAATAATATTTGTGATCATTAAAATCATAATTTGTATATCAGGCTCATGGGGTCCAACACCTTGGTGTAATATTTGTCCCCATTATGTTCAAATATGAGAAAAGAACCTGTCTGTTGATGTTAGTATAGTGTGTACATAAGTCTCTCTCTAAATAATTTAGTTGTTAGGCCCTAGTGCGCTAAGAACTGCATTAAGCTCTCCCTAAATGTTTTAGTCGGTGAGAGGCACAGACACCAACAACAACAACAACAACAACATCAAGCCTTTATCCCACTACGTGGGGTCGGCTACTCTATTATTTATTTGTTAAAACAAGATATAGGAACGAGACACTTAACATGTATTGCCTAAGTGTTACATCTTACTACATAAAAGCTGCCCAAGAGAGTTGTCATTTCATGTCGTTGAATTCTGAGCACTTCATTTTGCAAGCTTCCTTTTTATTTCTTAAAAGTTTACCTCGTAGACACATCTTATTAGTGTAGCTTAGTTATATTTTGAATGTTTCTTTATCAAAATTTCATTTTCGTATTTCATTCTCTCCCCCTTTACATTATCATAATACTTTAAGATAATATATTCCTTAGTTTTGTGCTTGAAAATAAACCTTGAACATTGATTTATATATTTCACTTGTAGGCCACACTATTTTGCTTGGGTACCAAGTTAATTGAATAAAAAATAATCATGTATTATGGCTTCATTTTTTTTTCAAAATGTGTCCTTTGCCTACTTCACAATGCTGTGTTGTGATCATTTCTCTTGTTCATAGCCATGCATTATAAGCGCTTAATTAAGCACATTACTTTGATAGGTACTTCATGGTTTTGATGTATTGAAGTTGCCCTACGCATGACTTGACAATTTTCACATTGGAAAAGCTGAAATTTAAGAGTGAAATCATTGTTAGTATTATATGTAAGGAATCTCTATACGTCAAGGAACCCTTATACTCGTATGAAAATATACTTTTAAAAAAAAATTGTGAACATTAAATACTTGAGAATGAGCTGAAAGTATTATAGTACTTAGATATGCATAAAACATTTTTCCCTATCTTTTTAAGGTGGGCATTGGGAGTGCTAATATATTTCTTGCTACAAGCTGAAATGCCATTTGGATCATGGAGGGAAAGTGAACTCGAGGCATTTGCAAAAATTTCCAAAGGACATTTGACACTTCCCCAGACCTTCAGTATTGAAGTGGTTGACCTCATCACCAAGGTTCACATACTTACATATGCCTTTGTCCTTGATTTATCTTTCAAATTCATTGGCTTCGTTTGGGAGGGACGGGTTTTTTACTACTTCTTAAAGCGGCTTTCGAATACAAAAAATGTAACTTTTGTACTAGAAAGTTGTTTTAAGAAGCAGTAAGAAAGCCGTCCCAAATGAAACCCAAGTGTCTGAAACTTCTTGCTAAACATGTCGTCTCTTCTCTATTTTTAACAGCTGCTGGATGTCAATGAAGCTACACGACTCGGCAGTGATGGCCCCGACTCCGTGAAAGCTCATTCATGGTTTAATGGCGTCGACTGGAAAAACATTGTTGATGGTACTTTTCCAGTTCCCCAGGAGATCATTTCTCGTATCGATGCATTTTTAGAAAATCATGTAGAGGAATTCAAGGAGCCTGTCTACTCTCCGTCCCATGAAGCAGAACTCAACTCTCCAGAATGGTTGGAAAATTGGTAAAAATCTTCCCCAGATTTTTCCACCGTGTGATTTTAACATTTTGTATGCACCAGACGTATCTTGCTGTCAAGTCTCCAAGCTTTAACTGCAGCGCGATAAAGAGAAATCAATCAGACATTTAGCTTATCGTGAGAGATTGGCGGATAACATAGGAAATAATGAAGCATCTGAATGTCAGAAGTTCTATAGAGCTTCACACAGAGAGACAGAGAGAGAGGAAATCATTATATTCATTATTTGTGATGTGCTTGATGATGACTACATTAAAGAAGCACGATGCATTTGTTCTGTGTGCTTTTCTTTTTGAAATGTGTAGTTGCAAACATATTTGATGACACATTTAATAGTAACTGGTGATTGCTCCATGTATATTTTCTTCTTATACCTATCTTTTAAATGAAGATTTTAGCCATTTTTCAAGAGCAGAGTGGATTTCATCTCACTCAAGTTAACATTTATTCTGTATTAAATGTTATGTCATATAAAAATATGATGTTAGCTCGTCATTTCCTCTATTTTTACCTTTGCTTTTCCATATGCAAAATCTTTTGAAAGCATTCTGAAAAAAGTTTGTGCTTGGTCAATAGGAAGTACTCATTGAAATCACTCTAACAAATGACTTGGCTCTATTATATTGAAGGTTAATCTGTTCTGTTCAATCAATATTCGTTTTATTCTTGCTAAATTGATGCTGATTTCATCGAATGCAAGAGCCGTTTATTATTTTATTATTTCTCTCTATCCATCATGTAGGATTTTGTTTGTTTTGATTTATTGATTTTTATTACTGTTTAGATTTTGTTTGGGATAACTTTCTAACGCATTTTAAATAATTTTTTATTATAAAAATTTTAATGTTCAAGATGTTTTTGTACTAAAAAGTTATGAAAGTTATCTCAAACAATGCCTTAGACGTGAAAAACTGAGCTGCTGCTTCTAATGGTTACATGTCATATTCGTATGTGACGCCGCATTCATCTATACTTTAAAGGATGTTATGTGAATAAAATAAAAAAAAATGTGATGTTGATTATTATGTTGGAAGTAATATTTAAATAAAGAACATAATGGTCTTTTTCATGTATGTAAAACAAAATTTAAATATTAAATGTACTAAAATAGATAAAAATTTCATTAGTTTAGTACAACATTATTAAAAATATTTAAAAGTTCATTTATCTTTTTTATTTGAAGTGATTTCATATTATTTTTTATTTAGGCTGTATTTGGGACAGTTTTGTTCATTCTTTTTTTTTATTGATTTAAAAAAAAAATTGTATTAAAAAATTATTGATAGAAATATTAAGAAAATTGTCTTAATCTTGATTTTTTATTGTTTTTTTACTCTATGACTAAAATTCATAAAATTAAACTTAAGCTGGATTAATTAATGTAGCTCAAGTTCAAGCCATTGGTGATTCAGACTCTATTGGGCTTGTTATTTGGGACAGTTTTGACCATTCTTTTTTTATTGATTTTAAAAAAAATTGCATTAAAAAATTGTTGATAGAAATATTAAGAAAAATGTCTTAACCTTGGTTTTTTATTGTTTTTTTACTCTATGACTAAAAATCATAAAATTAAACTTGAGCTCCAGCTGAAATTTATTTAATTAATCAAGCTCAAGTTCAAGCCATTGGTGATTCAGACTCTATTGGGCTTGTTTACCTCCCTAATTTTTAGGAAATATTTTTGGTCTCACACTATGAAATAAAGAAGTGATTAAAGGAATATAAAGGAAGAGCCTATTACATAGAATAACTAGTTAATATCCTTACTTTTTAACGATAACGTCAATACAAGCCTTTATCCTACTACGTGGTATCAACTACATGAATCTTTTTTCTCTATTGTGTCCTTTTAAGAGTCAAATTCTCATTTAAATCTAATAATGAATGATCATTTCTAATATTTTCTAATCAAGCTTTCTTAGATCATCTCTACCTCCCCAATATCTTTACCATATAAGTGAGAACAAGAATAATAACAATGAAAGTTAGGCCATTAAACACTCTCAAGATATCACATTGGCAATTGGTTATTGCCTTTTATTTTCAACAAGGATATCTTGATTTTTGATACTTTTAAAATTAATAAACAAATAAATAAAGTTGCAAATTATAAAGCAATGATAAAAAAAAAAATTTCAATTTAAATATTTTTATGTATGACTTATAGTTCTTATTTATGCCTTTTGAGCGACTCATGTATTCACTTGAATTCTTACATATGTTAGTCTACATGAACATTTTGGCTTTAGATAATATGAGATTTCAGGAATGTTTTATTAACTATTATATGCTGATAATCATGAATATTTGACCAATAGTAAGTAGAAGTGAATAATTTATTATTTTAGGATTAAATAAAGATTCCCTATTTCGGTTGGGTTACATCAAGGATCAACCTTAAGCCCATATCTTTTTGCTTTAGTCATGGATGTTCTTACAAAACATTTGCAAGAGGATGTACCTTGGTGTATGCTTTTTGCTGATAATATTCTTCTTGTTGATAAGACTAGAGAGGGAGTTGAAGGTAGACTTGAATTATGGAGGTCAACCTTAGAGTCTAAAGGTTTTTGCTTGAGTAGATCTAAAACGGAATATATGGAGTGTAATTTTAGTACTAATAGACCTAGTGAGGGGATTGTGACTTTGGGCGATCAAGTCATTAATAAGAGTACATGTTTTAGATATATTGGATCTATTGTTCAGAGTGATGGTGAAATAGATGGGGATATTATCAGCAGAAATCAAGTTGGATGGTTGAAGTGGAGGAATGCATCAGGCTTGTTATGTGATAGAAATGTACCCCTCATACTTAAGGGAAAATTCTATAAGATGGTTGTGAGGCATGCAATGCTTTATGGTGCCGAATGTTGGCCATTAAAAGAGAAGCATAATACTAAGTTAAGTGTGGCAGAGATAAGGATGCTCAGGTGGATGAGTAGCTTTATGATTAGAGATAGGATACGAAATGAGCATATACATGAAAAGATTGGAGTAGCTCCAGTTTAAGATAAGATTAGAGAGAGTCGCCTTAGATGGTTTGGTCACATAAAACGACAGCCTTCCGATGACCCGGTTAGGAGAGTAGAGGTATTAAATTTGACTTATGTTAAGAAAGGTAGGGGTAGACCTAAAAAGACTTGGTTAGAAAATATTAGGAATGACCTTTCTTTATTAGATTTAAACGAGAATTTGACTTTTAATAAGACACAATGGAGAAAAAGGATTCATGTAGTCGACCCCACGTAGTGGGATAAAGGATTGATGTTGTTGTTGTTATTGTAGGATTTAATAAATATTCCACACATAATTAGAAAAATAGAAATATAAAGTATGAGATAGATCAATCTAAAATTAAAATAATAATAATAAAATTTAGGCCAATTAAAATAGTCTTATAAGGTTTAATATTGGGTTATATAGGGTTGCCCTTCCCCAAAATTGAAGAAGATATTATTGCAGTATAAAGCACCTAAATTATGATAAATATATCATATTGTGGAGGTGATGTAATTCAAGCCTTTAAGGAATTGATGTAAATGATTTTGTATGGCATCTGAAAAAACCCTTGCTTCAAAAATAAGAGGTGCTGCAATAATTTCCTAAGAATAAACAAGAGTTTAAGTTTGAGAGAATTTATTGAGCAAGCAACAACAACAACAACAAGCCTAAACCACTATGTGTGAATCCTTTTTCTTCATTGTGTCCTATTAAAAACTAAATTTTGATTTAAATCTAATAAAGAAAGGTTATTTCTAATATTTTTCTAACCAAGTCTTTTTTGGTCTACCTCTACCCTGTTTTAACAGAAGCAAATCTAATACATATACTTTCCTAATCAGATCATCAGAAGGCTGCCATTTTATGTGACCAAACCGTCTAAGGCGACTCCCTCTAATCTTATCTTCCATTGGAGGTACTCCAACCTTTTCACTTATATGCTCGTGTTTCACATTCTATCTCTAAGAGTAAATCCACTAGTCCACCTCAACATTCTCATCTCTGCAACACTTAACATAATTGTATGCTTCTCTTTTAAGGGCCAACATTATATGCCATAAAGCATTGCATGTATCACCACCACCTTTTAAAATTTTCCCTTAAACTTGAGGGTACTTTTCTATAACTTAACATACCCGATGCATTCCTCCACTTCAACCATCCAACTTGAATTCTGCTAATAATATCCACATTTTTTTCATCATCACTATGAACAACAGATCCGAGATAATTAAAAATGTGTACTCTTATTAATGACTTGATCACCCAAAGTCACAATTTCCCCATTAGATCTATTACTACTAAAATTACACTCCTTATATTTGGCTTTAGATCAACTCAAACAAAAACCTTTAGACTATAAGGTTGACCTCCATAATTCAAATTTACCTTCAACTCCCTCTCTAGTCTTATAAAAAAGAAGAATATCAATAACAAAAATCATACACCAGGGTACATCCTCCTACAAATATACAGTAAGAACACCCATGACTAAAGCAAAAAAGATAAGGGCTTAAAGCTGATCCTTGATGTAATCCAACTGAAATAGGAAAAAAACTTTGTCAAACCATCTTGTATCTTAACACTAGTAATATCTCCTGCATACATATCCTTAATGACTTGAATATAAGGATTATTAACCCCTTTCTTTTCTAGAAATCTCCATAGCACTTCACTTGGAACTTTATCATATGCTTTCTCTAAAACAATAAATATCATATATAGATCCTCCTTATTCTCTTTATACTTCTTCATCAAACCTCTTAATAAATGTATAGCTTCCATAGTAGACCTACCCGATATGAATCTGAATTGACTTTGAGAAATGTTAGTATCATGCTGCAACCTATACTCCATATCTCTCTCCCATAGTTTTAAATTATGACACATTAACTTAATTCCTCTATAATTCGCACAATCTCGTGGCTCACCTTTATTCTTAAAGATATGAATCAACATGCTCAATTTCCACTCTTATGGTATCTTTTTAGTCTTTAAAATAATATTAAAATAATTTTTTGAGCAAAGATTATGATACATTTTTATTATGTTAAATTATAGTAAAGATGTATGTTTTAGTTGATGTTATGAATGAATGTCTCAAAAAATGAGTATAAATTATAAAGTTAAAAACCCGCACCATAGCATCAGAACTAACAACATCACAAAATTTTCAACACCCAATTGTTAGAACAAGAAATTGTAGAGCTGGCTCAGGAAAATTTCATTTAATTGAGCACTCGATAAAATAAATGTCAACACCACAACACAAAAAATGAATATTGAAACACTAGAGCCTCAAGAAAAGCTATAAATATTATAACCCCAAAGCTCCAACCAGTGGAGAGCCATAGCACTGAAAGACATAATCAAGTGTTAGATCGCCCATCTCGTCATGATAGAGCATTTAAAGAAAAGAAGCATTATGTTGAGTCAGCCAAGCGTCATGCTGGATAAACTAGTTGTCGTGTCAGGTCAGCCCAATGCTGCATTGGAGC